TATTTGTCGCCGACGCCGGGCGCCTCTCCTTCCGGCTTATAATAGCAAAGGCCGCACCGCCGCCGTCGTCCCCCGCTTTTTCCCTCTCTCGCTCGCTTCCGCCGCTAGATAGCTCCGCCGCTCGTCGTAGCCACCGTCGAGCCGCGTCCATCGTGCCCAGCTACGCCAACGCGATCGCCTCGGTCTTGCATTTCTCTGCGGCTTGCTCACGTCGCTTGGGTTGGCCGGAATCGCCCCGGTTAACGCGTCTTCTTCCCGAGACCGCCCGAGTCTCGCCGCCATTGACTCGACGCGTGGCAGCTGCTCCAGAGATCTGTCTCCGTCTTCACCAAACGCATCGACGTGATCGTGGTGAGCTCATCAACGTGATACTTGCTTTGTTTTAGACTCTCATCGCACCGCTGCTATAAGGTTATGTCGCGTCTTGTCAGTGCGTTCTCGGGCCGCCATGGGCGGCGTGGATCCTTCTCCTTCTCGGTCGCCTTCCGCCGATCCGAGGGCCGGGATGGGTTTGTAGAAGTGTGTAGATCATTTGAGTGCGGTCTACCTCGCCGGAGCGTCACCGTCAGCGCATTTTGGGCCGGCCAGTGATGGCAGCGTCGCCATGACCTGTATGTGTCACTGACGAGTGGGGTCGGGCTGTCAGTGAGAAAGAAGGAGAAGAATAGTGAGGTTTTATTATTTTCTAATTTTGAATAGTGCTGAATTTTTGGAAATTTGTAGGAAAATAATCATAGCTCCAAAAAATCTGAAATTTTGTGTGTAGCCTCTGTACATGCTCTAGTATGGTTTACAAATTTGAAACTTGAAATTTGAATAAATTTTTAATGTTCAAATATTCAGTCCATTAATTAATAAATGCAATTTTCATGATTTTTGTAGGCCACTGTATAATTCCAAAAATTATGAAATTTGTTTTGGTACACTAATTTGTCATGAGGAAGCTTACATAAAATTTTGAGGTCATTTGGAACAAGATCATTTTTGGGCTTATTTCCAAATTAATTCAAAAATAAATAAAAGCAAACCCTAAGTGTTTGATTAGTGTTTGATCTTGTTTTGATCATGTTTTGTGACTAGTAGGGTTTCAAGATCAGTGGTCGGAGAGTTCACCGTAGTGGTCGGAGAATTCGCCGTAGTGGTCGGAGAGTTCACCGTAGTGGTCGGAGAGTTCACCGTAGTGGTCGAAGAGTTCGCCGAAGTGGTCGGAGAGCTCGCCGAAGTGGTCGGTGCTGACATGGTCACATCCGTTACGAATATGGTTTGGTTAGTTTGGCTTGTAACTGTACCGTGAAGGAAAGTTGTATTCAAGGTGTTGTTATATTTCATGCACCATGAAAGCATAATGTTTATATTATCATCATGTTGAAGCATATGCTATTATTTCGTGTAGAATCCGAGAGTGAACCGATTCTAGTTGAGCAAGTTCTAGAAGAATCCCCGGTTGTCACGGGATTCGATAATAGTGGTGCTGATCCGGAACCTGAGATCGTCAACGAAGACAAGCCCCGGTTTATGCATTAAACCATTACCTTGTTTACTTTGAAAAGTTTATCACCTATGTTACTTATTGCATTAAGTTGATTAATTCAAATATTACCTATTTGATGCATTGCCTACCTTGTTAATTGTTTACCATCCTTGAAGATGATTTCATTTACAAAGACGTAGAATTGCTTAGTATGCTTTGTGGTAGGCTTTTAAAGTAAAAGTTTGGATACGATCAAAGATGGCATACTGGCCAAAGAAAGAAAGAAAGAAGATAGAATGAACTAGAGACTAGTCGGGTGGCTTATCTTGAATGTTGGGTAATGTTGCCGACTATGTCGCTTAAAGGCCACTCATTGTGGATCTTCTGAATGAGACACTTTCTAGTACTGGTCACATACTCCGGTAAACCTACTTCGGCTAATCCGATACTAAGATGAATGCTCACGCACTAGGAGTGGTGAGATGGCGGGAGTAGCGTGTACCCTCGTGGCTTGAATGTGGCCGGATTTGAGGTGCGCTGTGCTCTCGGGTGACTTGGAGACGGCTTAGTATAGGAGGATCTAGTAGCGAGGTTGATATATGCAAGATTAAGTTCTACATATGTCGTGTGATAAGGAATCCCTAGCTGGGACTTGAATCAATTCGAATTGCTGGTGCTCCACGGATATGGAGACTCGATTCATTACAGAAGCAATGCAGGGCTGGTGAATTACTAAAACTTGAGAAAAAGAATGAAATGAGAAGGATTGGAACATGGGATATGAACACTTAGTTTGAGATAATGAACCAAGAAGATTTAGGGGAAAACCTTGAAAATAGGATCAAGAATAGTAAGCTTTTGGCAAAGAACTTTTGAATCTTGCTACATCCTTACTTTGCCCCAACACCTGCATCTCTAAAGTCTTTCACCCCTTTTACGTCGGGTTAGTCTTGTTGAGTACTTTTATACTCAGGGTTTGTTAACCCTTGTTGCAGGTGAGCCTCATGAGCAGGTCTGTTTTGGACCTTGCTGCATGACCGTTGTTCAGGTCGATGATGATAAATGAATGTGTGATCCTTGGGCAGGATACTTATTTTGTGTGTTATGTTTATGTTAGTTATGCCACTCCACTACTACTATGGTTTGTAATAATTATCGAACTTAGTTTGTAAGGTTTGAAATAATTGGGTTGTAAACTATGTTATCATAAGACTTCCGCTAATTTACTCTGATATATATATTTGAATAAATGTTGTAATACTGCAATGACTCTGTAATGGGATCCTGCTCGGAAATCATGGATGATTCGGGGTTCCCCGAGGACACCCGACAGACTTCTTAAGTTACCAGGAACATATGCATAGTTGTCAAAGGTCGTTGAACACTGACAAGTGCATGTGGGTCCTATAATTTAGGAGGTTCTGCCATAGTGCTCACCCCGTGAGAGCCGCACCATCCGACTGATGCTGTCGCTTGTCGTGTCCACCGCGTGCACTCTATCCGCTGCCATCCTCTTTCTCCACCGTGACCGCACAACCGTCCCGTCCGTTGCCATCCTCCTTCTTCACCGTGACCACACAGCTGGATCCCGTTTGTGTCGTGCTCCGTCCGCCTGGCTGCCTTGTTTTGCTGAAAGCACATGTTGCAACCGTATGTTTCGAGTGTTTTAGAGGTACGTTGAAAGTGTTTCAGATGGAATGTTGCAAAAGTAGATCGGTATGTTGCATATGTTGCAATGGTTGTACACGTATGTTGCAAAGATTTGTTACCAATGTTTCATCCGTGCTTTCCGGACGTATGTTGCAAGTGTGTTTATCTAGATGTTGCGTATGTTTGCAATGGTTTTCAGGTGTATGTTTCAAGTGTTTCATATGCCTTCAGACGTATGTTCCAACAGTTGCATTTGGATATTTCAAAAGCAGATCGGTCCGGACGTGCGCGTTGATCCACATAGAGCGCGCGAAACGGAGTACAGCGCGTGGCGTTCAGACGCGCGTGTTGATCCGTCCGGACGTCCGGACGCTAGCACTCCCAAATATATAGTCCTTAGAGGTCACCTATCATGTTTCATAGGAAAGATGACAGCGGATATCACAACGGAACACATGAATTTTGTCCTATACGTTATTTCTTCTAAATATATCATTATTTATGTTCTATACTCTAGAAATGTACTTAGAAGTATTTTAGCTTATTCCTTATGGTGGATAATCCCATTTTATGACATTCTTTTATCTATCCAATTTAGTTCCATTTTCTAAAATTCTAAGCACAAGATACGTCTAGTTGCATTGCCACTTCTTACTTTGCCTAGCTAGGCAAGAAACACAACATTTGGTAGTTTTGCTTGTTCTCTCGGTTTCTTTTTATATTCTTTAATAGGATTTGGATTTCTCCAAAAACCATAATTTAGTGGCATCAGCTTCTGTCTCTCCCTCTTCTTCCCAACACGGCTTTGGCTTCAACGTTTTTGACTTGGTTTGTTCACGCACGTGTGCTCATTTGGCAGAGTTGATAAGATTTTTCGTTTGAGAAATACCAAAAAATCCTGCTAAAGAGACCTACCTCAAATGAACCAAAATTCTTCTCCCATGCTTGGAAGCCTATCCTTGCCAACTGAGACTCAAAACTAGAAAGAGACTCCTATAAAATTATTTTCATTTAATTCCGCAAAAAAATATGATTTGATATGATGGTTAATCTTAGAAAATCATATTATTTTTTTTTTTTAAAAATAAAATAATTTTTATATGAAAATTATAGATCCAAATCACCGGCAAGATCGAAAAAATTAATAACATATTTGAACTTAATTGGCATTTTTCCTTTTCCAGACCCGAGGAATTTTTCTAGAGGACACGAATTTAATTACGATCTTTTATTGGAAAATCTTAAATTCTTCTCCCATGCTTGGAAGCCTATCCTTGCCAACTGAGACGAGACTCCTGGGTTAACAAAAATAAATAAAATCCAAACACCGGCAAGATCCAGCCGAGGGTTACGGCCGTGGCAGCCGGGCGTGGACCCGGACCAACCCTGTCGCTACCCAGAAAAATATCCCACGCGGGCAGTGTCGGGAACGCCGCGCCGCAGATAAAAGAAAGGGAAACCGAACGAAAGAAATCACGGTGACCACCAGCTGACCAGGAGCATCCCAGCAAAAGCACAAGACGCCACTGACCCCACGGCCCCGTCGCGCTCCCGTCCCCACCACGCATTCGCTCACACGGCCACTTGGCCCACCGTGACCTCACCGGACACCGGCTCCCTCGCGTTCTCAGTCCCCGGAAACCGCCCACGCCCACACGCGACGCCACGCCCTGTCGCGCTCGCACTCGCCGCCGGCACACCGCACACTGCCTTCGCTCGCCGCACCCAATCCCACGGACCACCCAACGCGGCCTCACCCACGCGCTTGTGAGCAGCGCAGGTCGCCGCGCTCGTTTTCCCCAGTCCTCTCCACACAGTTTCCACTTCGGTCGAGGCCACCTCCTTCCCCCTTCGTCAGACCCCAGCCCGGCAGGCAGCCATGGGCAACCGTGCGTCGCGCTACAACCGCCCCGCCGCCGAGCAGCAGCCGGCCTCGTCGACCCTGCCCAAGCCTCAGACCCAGCCGCCGCCGCCGCCGCCGCCGACGCAGACGCAGCAGCAGTACCAGCAGGCCCCGCCGCCGCCGCAGCAGTCGCAGCAGAAGCCGAAGCCGGCGGCGGTCGCGGTCGCGGTCGCGGGGGCGGGGGCGGGGGCGAGGGCGGTGGGGCGCGTGCTGGGGCGGCCCATGGAGGATGTGCGCGCGATCTACACCTTCGGCCGCGAGCTCGGGCGGGGCCAGTTCGGGGTCACCTACCTCGTCACGCACCGGGAGACCGGGCAGCGCTTCGCCTGCAAGTCCATCGCGACGCGGAAGCTCGTCCACCGCGACGACATCGAGGACGTGCGCCGGGAGGTGCAGATCATGCACCACCTCACGGGCCACCGCAACATCGTCGAGCTCCAGGGAGCCTACGAGGACAGGCACTCGGTCAACCTCGTCATGGAGCTCTGCGAGGGCGGGGAGCTCTTCGACCGAATCATTGCCAAGGGCCACTACACCGAGCGCGCCGCCGCTGCGCTCTGCCGCGAGATCGTCGCCGTCGTCCACAGCTGCCACTCCATGGGGGTCTTCCACCGGGATCTCAAGCCCGAGAACTTCCTGTTCCTCAATAACAAGGAGGACTCCCCGCTCAAGGCCACGGACTTCGGCCTCTCCGTCTTCTTCAAGCACGGTGAGTGCTTGATTTGACTGCATCCCTTCTTCCATATGGATCTTACCATATTCTTTTAAGGGTAAAGTACACTTTCCAACCTCAACTTGCACTGAAGTTCGATTTTCAACCTTCAACTATAAAACCGTGTAACAAACACACTTCCAACTATCAAAACCGGACAAATTTGGTCCTCGGCTGGTTTCAAAAGCAGTTTTCTATTTTCGGGAGGCTTTTTTGAAATTTTATATTATTATTTTTGAGCCTTTTTAAGTTGTTTTGTCGCGAGAAGATTTCAATGAAAAATCATAACTCTTCGATACGACGCCGGATGAAGATGATTTTTATATAAAATTGTAGATCTCGTATGATATCTACAATTGACTCCATACAAGTTTTAAGTTTTTTAATTTGAGGACGTTAAGTTATGATCAAAAAAATAATATAAAATTTCAGCATCATAATAGCGCTTTCCTCAAATTAAAAAAATAATACTAGAGCGTATGGAGTCAAATGAAGATATTTTTTATATAAAGTTGTAGCTCTCAATGAGATCTACAACTTTGTAGTTTTGAGTTTTTTCATTTGAGGACGTTAAGAGGCTCAAAAAAATAATATAAAATTTCGGCGCCTCCCGAAAATAGAAGACCGCTTTTGAAACCAGCCGAGGACCAAATTTGTCCGGTTTTGATAGTTGGAGGGTGTTTGTTACCCGGTTTCATAGTTGAAGGTTGAAAATCGAACTTTAGTGCAAGTTGGAGGTTGGAAAGTGTACTATACCCTTCTTTAAGATGTTTGACTAGACGTGGATGTGGATTTGACTTGACCCGGTTGCCGGGCTTGACGGTTTCAGAGTTCAGACCCAGCATTGCTAAAATGAGTGTCTATATATGGAAATGGCATTATTCACCATCCTTGTTGCATGTTCTGTATATGTTAGTATATATATGAGGAATCCAGCTTAACTCCAAAGTATTTGACTCTAAACTTGCTCCAAAGGTGACATTGTGATGGCATTGTAGATTTGCATGGTTTACTCTTTAGGCATTGCGTTGTTTTCACCATCGATCCTTAATTGAAGGAAGCATAACAGATCAAACTTGTGTCAAATGCTTGCATTACACAAAATGGGAAATTACACCCTGATTTTGTTGGATAAAATTGGGATTATTCACTTTGTAAAATGTTGGTTTCGTGGAGGATTTGTTGTGGGGCTTAGATGTTTAGTCTTTTCTCTATATATTATCCCTTTTGTTTTGAACCTTAACAAGTGAAATGGTTTGTTTATTTGCATATTGACATGAGCAAACTGAATGAGAATCCATAATGGATGATGCAGGGGAGACGTTTAAGGATCTTGTGGGAAGTGCGTATTATGTTGCTCCTGAGGTACTGAAACGGCACTATGGGGCAGAGGCTGACATATGGAGTGCTGGGGTTATTCTTTACATCCTTCTGTCTGGTGTTCCTCCTTTTTGGGCAGGTAATGTTTTTTAAACATATCATTTCAGTCTTCTTTTCCCTTCTGTCACTCTTACGCAATTGATTGTTTCCTTCACTTCATCGTTTACTTTCACCAGAGAATGAGGATGGCATATTTGATGCCGTCTTGCGTGGTCACATTGACTTCTCTTCTGATCCTTGGCCTTCAATATCTAATGGTGCAAAGGATTTGGTTAAGAAGATGCTGCGACAAGACCCAAAAGAACGCCTGACTGCTGCTGAAATTTTGAGTAAGACAACTGCTCTTCTCTTGCTTTGTATGTCTAGTTGTGGAATCATGTTTCATGTAGTCATTTAGTAGCAAATGGGAGCAATCATTCCTCCTAATTTCTTCCAAAATTTGTGCCTTTTGATATTCCCTCCGGTTCAAAATATGCTGTTTTAAGATTCCTGCTGGTCTAAGTTCTTTTAACTTTGACCATTAATATATAAAGGTTTAAGATAGATGTCATTAGATTTACCATGAAAGCACCTTCAAAGTATTTATTAAATCATCTAAATGTAGACCAAAGTTTCATAGAAATACCATTTAATCATCTTTATTTGAATTTTCATATTTCATAGAAATTGTAGACCAAAGTTTCACCTAAATGACATGTAGTTTGTATCAGAGAGTACAAGAGTGCTAAGTGGTGATAATAGTTATAATATTCCAGAGAAACTGCTGATTTTTCTCTCTTTATATCAAATACCTGTTTGTTTTCTCTCTTTCTAAAAAAGGGACCTATCTGCTTTCCACATGAACTGAGACACTGACTATTCATTCGCAAGTGTTGTTTATCAGTCTAATATTGTGAGCATACAGACCACCCATGGATTAGAGAGGATGGAGAGGCTCCAGATAAGCCACTTGACATTACTGTCATCGGTAGAATGAAACAGTTCAGGGCAATGAACAAGCTCAAGAAAGTTGCATTGAAGGTGATTGTCTGATTGACTTTGACTCCACAGATTTATCCTTGCTAAATACTTGATTTTAAGGAGCAGATAGTTCTAACATCTTCATTAATTCTAACCAGGTTGTGGCTGAGAACTTATCAGATGAAGAGATTATGGGCCTAAAAGAAATGTTCAGATCCCTAGATACAGATAACAGTGGGACAATTACTCTTGAAGAGCTAAGATCTGGTTTACCAAAACTTGGTACTAAAATTTCTGAATCAGAAATCAAACAGTTGATGGAGGCGGTATGTTCATCCTCCATATCCATATGCTTCGTCGTTTTTCTGTTGATGCGTAATTTCCTTACAGTAATTCTTTTTTCTCTTAACTATTACTATCCCAATTACTGAATCACATCTCCCACTTGGAGAACTGAAAGCAACTGTCATGGACTGCATTGGACATTTGACTCCACATTGTTTTCCTGTTTTCAAATAAAAACTCCTTTTTACAGTTTGTGGTGTTTTCTAATGAATGAATGACACAACATCACAATTATTTGAAAGGAAACATGGGGAGTAACGAACATGTGAAACTGCTATGGATGTATCAAACATCTGGACATTGTTGATGGAACTATTGTAGTAGTTCAGTACATACCATTCTGTTTCTTTATTTGTGTTTTTAATTCCATGAACAGGCTGATGTTGATGGAAATGGTACCATTGATTATGCGGAGTTTATATCAGCCACAATGCACTTGAATAGATTGGAGAAGGAAGACCACATACTCAAAGCTTTTGAATATTTTGATAAGGACCACAGCGGGTAACTTCATTTTAACTTTGGTTGGACTTGTTCTGCAAATCTTGACTGTTCCCATTTGATTTCCTCACTGTTTAAATCTTTCTGTACAGATACATAACAGTAGATGAGTTGGAAGAAGCTCTGAAGAAGTATGAGATGGGAGATGACAAAACAATAAAAGAAATCATTGCTGAAGTAGATACGGACCATGTGAGTATATATTTTACAGAGTTCTAGTAAAAGATTAGCTCTTATAAATATTTAAATCAATCAACTGAAAAAACCCGCCTCACTGATATCAGTTATGTGGCATGTTACTTGTTGACTTCAGCCACTTGACATGTTCCTAGAATATAGAAATTAGAAATGAGTTCTTATAGGAAAAGAAGAACCCAAGATTTGACGTGGTGGGGGCTTGTGTGTTAAAAAATGCTGATTAAAATGTTTTTCCAATCTTATATATTATGGATGCATTTGACATAGTAATGAGTTTTTTTTTTAGAAAAATATGTAATGGGTTCACATTGGATGAATTAAACAATATCAAACTGGTGAACGGAAATTCACGGAGAAACTACCAGTTTGACTTGGATTTGGTGATAAATTAGCAGATGTCCACAATCTCTACAAACCTTCTCAGATAAACCTACATCAGGAATGTTGAAGACCAGTAACCCTTTTGCTTAGCTATAACTCAAAAGTTCAACAGAGGCTGCCTAACTCAATTCATCAGATGCTAACTTTCCCATTTTTTCCCCTGTTGACAGGATGGAAGAATTAATTACCAGGAGTTTGTTGCCATGATGAGGAACAACAGCCCTGAGATTGTTCCAAATCGGAGGCGCATGTTCTAACTGTCATGTACAATTTCATTGAATACTTTCAAGAACAATCTGCCCGTAGACATAATCCTGGCCCCGTTTTCTTTTTGGAACAGTCGTTAAGAAGACTCCGTAATTTGAGATTCATGTCTCTGCAGCCCGGACCAGTTTGTACCAAAATAGGGTGGTGTTATAGTGACCCGTACTTAGATGCTTTGAGCATCATGGACTCATGGGTGGCAATGTTTATTCCCATTGTACTCCTTGGGGTTGTTCTGCTGCTTCGATCTGATGCTTTCCTCACCTTTCATTTTAGGTTGTCCTCTCAGAGTGTTGCCACCTGTGAATTGTTATCATGTGTTGTGGTCCTCGTAATCGTTTATATTAGCGCAGGCATTGGAAAATGGTATTCAGCGATCAGATCAGGCAATGTCATATTACTTCTGAATAAATATTAGCAGTAACTTGGTTCTGGATTGGCCTTGGTGAAATGCTGATCCATCCACGTTCTTTTTTGGGTGAAGATGATTAGACGACCACCCAAAGAATCAAGTCTAGGCACCTGTTGTATGCTCTAAAAAGGTTTATTAGGTGTAATTTTGACTTGAGTTTATTTCTTGGAGCATATTTTGACCTTTAGATTCTGCTTATCTTAGATTCTATTGAACTTTTTTTTTCTCTCTCTCTCTTAACTTCTACTCTCTCTCTCTCTCTTCCAAATTATAGATAGTTTTTCTCTCTCTTAACTTCTCTATATTTGACCAAATTTATATAAAAAAATTATACATCAGCATCTACACTATCTAATAAACACAATATAAACATATTTTATGGTAGATTTAATGAATCTAATTTGATATGGTAAGTATTTTTCTATAAACTCGGTTAAAGTTAGATAAGTTTGACTTAAGACAAAATTAAAACAAACTAATTTCTACCATTTGAGATGATAACATGCAATTTATTTTGTTATGATAGGACTTTGACCAATAATTACTTTACTTACGATCTACTATGTGATACAAAATCATTTTTTTTCTCGAATACGTAAAAGATTTACGCATCGTTGTAATTAAGAAGAAGAGTTTAACCATACAAAAGACGTACTCTAACGAGCGCCCTAGGAGGTCCACCGGTTGACCTTCCTAGTATACATATTCAAATTTCGATATTACATAAATGGTACACATGAAGGGCGGGCCTGGTGCAAGCGGTAGAGTCTTACCGTCTGTGACTGGAAGGTTTCGGGTTCGAGTCGCGGTCCTCGCATTGCACAGGCGAGGGAGGCTTACCACTGACACCCTTCCTCAGACCCCGCACAGAGCGGGAGCTCAATCATATATATTTTCAAACAGAGGGAGTACACTGTTGTTTCCTTAAATTTTCCACGGGAGTACACTGTTGTTTCCTTGCATTTTCCACTTTGCACTTGAGGCAACTCCAGCAATACACATACTTTAATCAATTAATTAGATGGACCACCCACCTCGTATTTCTATTTTCTGGCAGGAAAAAAGTGTACTGTACTCCTTTTACATTCCGTATACACTGTGACTAGTGAGATGACACTGAAGTACAAAACTATTATTGTATATATCCATATAAATCATTACATTTAGGTCATCAGTGATGCCATTAAGACTCAGATTGAAAAGGTTTATCTCTAGAGCACTGATATACAAGACCCAAATACCATATACAAACATGTATATACAGCTTCCATGTCCTTAACACTTCCACATTGGTTTGGCTGGAGCAAACTACAGGTTTGGCTTGCAGTTGATCAACGAACAGAGACGTTTTTCATCTTTGCTGATCTGTGTTTGACAAAGAAAGCAGCTAACATACTTTTTTGTGAAAGCGGAGCCTTCTGGATTTGACGCCCTCTAGGGTTGTCCAAAGAACTGAATGATGACAAATGCCTGGTCGTGGGCTGATCCTGAAAATGCAGGAAGTTGATTGGTGTAGCTTGGGAGCACATGATTATCTTCTATGATGAACATTTGCGTTATCAAATAAATTGCAAGCTTTAATCTTTAAGAAAATGTTTCTATCAATTTTTTTTTACATAACGGAAACTGGTCGATTTGTATCTTGTTGTAGGTTTACCTTCATTCCTACACTAACAATATCCAAGCTGGTTATGTTGGACTGCACATTCCTGGACAAAGGAGACGCAGATGATTCCTTGCCTGAAACACAAGTAGCTTCGGATTAAGTATCTGCTGTCTACATATAGGCTATGCCAAAATCCAGCAAATGAAGACAAACATAAAGTAAACATAAGCAATTAAATACCAAGGCGGAAACCACTTGATGAAGGCTTAGTAGTTTTTGTTTCTCCTTGGCTGCAACGAAGCAGATGACAACAGTGTCACACAGGAAGAAGTATTAGGGGAGAAATGCCCCATTTAGCAAGACTGAACCAGAGACATGTCTGACTTACGCAGATTCGGATTGATCTGGTCTATTAGTTTTCGAATTTTTCTCGGAAACCAAATGCCACTGAAGGGTCCTTGCTGAAGGGAAAATGCTTTGTTTCAGTGCACCAAGTGCTTAGTACCAAAACTGGAAATGTTTGCACAGAAGGAAGAAGCTGCACCTGAAGAGTAAGGCCTTGGCGTTGAGTCAAAATCAGCATCGGCTTGCATATCAGAAAATGCCTGCATTCTTTTATTTCCCGCATCTAGCTCGGAGAGAAAGTCAAAAGGTTAGCTAGTAGCTACGCATTTAGCATTTCCTTCACCCCGGAATTGCTTATTTATTGAACAAACCCTTACATGGTACGATGTAATGTTTGTGGTGTCTTCTGGCAGCCCCCGTCATCTGCTGTTGCCTAACGCCTTCTTTATCCGTGTATGTCTGGCAGGTAAGGACTTGCTAAACATTGAACCATCAAAATGTCAGCTTTAACGATATATCGTACGATGACAACAAATTCCAGTGTTATGGCAGCTGTAGTACCTGGTTCAAGCATGCTACTTTCAACTCGAGGGTTGATATTTCTGAAGCCTGCTGTTCGTATAGGTCTGTCAATTTGTAGGCCACTGTGCCAAGATGGTCGACAGCGTTGACCAGGGCCCTGACAGCGTAATCTTTCAAGTTGTCCAGCACCCTGATATCAAGAAGCATGGGAAAATGGATGAGAGAATTATTAAGTGGACGTGTTCCGCTTCAGCACACTCATTATTTTGCAGAAAGTTCTTCAGTTTAGCAGGAGGGCAAGCACCCCGTCTAGCACCACGAAAAAACGGCACATACTTGCAGTTGCAGTGCCCCCGTGTTCTTCTATAGCTATGGAGTCGCTTTTGCAGTGCAGTCAGATACCAGACATCCATTGGGACTGCAATTCCATGGAGCATGAGATACTAATAGGTGGACCTCCAAAAGAAACTGAAGTAAACAACCCGAAAACTCCAAAATTTTACTTCTGCAAAACCCTGTCAGCCCATGATAACCTTTTACTTTTTCGTAATGATGATTCCCCAAGTCCTGTAATATATAATCTCCATAATCAACTGATGTACTTTGCATACGCCCAGCTTTACTTCCTAGACAGGTATACCGTATACGGTATACCCTTTTGAACTAATTCCACTGCACTAGAAACCTTGCTCGCAGACCTGTAACACCAAATGAAAAAAAGAAAAGAAAACACTAGCCGGAACGTTCAAGCGACCGGTGCGGACTAGGAGCAACAGCCAACAGGTAAACATACTTGCCAGGAGCTTGAATTTATTATCGCCAGAAAGAAAAATCATCCATCCATTTGGTTTAGAAAATCGCACGGCGCACGGACGTGGAAATTCCGGGAGAAAAGGACCAGAGTCAAGAGGAATCTCATCTCACATTTGCTTCTGTTCGCTGTGGAGGTAGGACTTCTCGCAGTACTCCGAGGCCGAGTAGAGCTGCGGCCGCAGGTTCTTGAGCTCCTGCAATCACGGGCGGCGATCGTAAGCTAATAAGCGCTAAACAAAGCAAGGATCGAGTCGAGGGCAGTCCAGGCTCCCGGGAGACCCGGATCTTCGCACACCAATTCGATCGAACAAGAGAAAAGAAAAACGAATGAATTAGGGGAAACGAGGATCAGGTCGGATCCGTGCGGGGTGACCTGAAGCGCCTTGACGAAGCTCTTGCTGCGCTCCATGGACGCCTCGTCGACGGTGGTCGGGGCCATCCAGGCGGGCTCAGCGCCAGGCCGCCACGGTTCGTGCTGCATCGCCTCTGCCCTCTGCCCTCCCCTTCCCCGAGCCCTGAGCGACACGCCGCCGCCGGTTCGCTCGGGGCGGGGGCGGGGGCGGGAACAGGACGGATACGGGGTAGCGGAAGGGCCAAGGCACGTGAGGACGAAGCAAGGAACACGCGACGCCTCTCGCGCGGTGCGGCTGCTCTCGCTTTGCTAGCCGGGATTTCCAGGTGTAGCGAGCGAGTGCCGAGTGGTGTACTGGCGTGGCGGCGAAACGGAACGGTGACGTCTCTCTCGGTGCAGGAGTGGGACGGGGGGCGTGGAGGCGGGGCAGGTAGTGGGGTGCGGTGAGGTGGGCGCGGAATCGGATGGCGACGAGGTGGTGGTTGCCGGTAAACTTTATGGTAGAGTAGGAGGTCCCCGTCCAGTCAGTCAGTCAGTCTATGGCGTGAGGAGGAGTGGCGCGGCGGCAAGATTTGATTGGCGGGCGGGTGCCGGACGATGGATTGGGGAATCCAGTCCAGTGGAGTCAGTAGCCTGATCACCGTTTCCAGTCGGTCGATCAGGCTGTCTGCTACCCTGCCTTGGTGGTGGCGTGCACTGGTGGATGGATCTTGATTCTTGCGGCCGGGCCGCGCCGTGTCTCCGTCGCGTGGATGATGTCGTCCGTTCGTTCGTCCGTAGCTTTTGCCGCTTTTGCGGTTTGTTCCCAGCCAGTCCTCCTGTCCTCTGCTGTTCATTCTTTATGGTCGGTACACTAACCTGCTTGGAGTAAGCAACAAACTTTGCAGGTACAAGCGTTTGTTTTATTAGTAATACTAGGTAAATGATTGTACCTTGCAACGAA